TAACTGTCAGAGGTGAAATTCTTGGATTTGTTAAAGACGGACTACTGCGAAAGCATTTGTCAAGGATGTTTTCATTGATCAAGAACGAAAGTTAGGGGATCGAAGACGATCAGATACTTCCAGTTCTTTTTTAAAGATTCGTATTCTTTTGGACGTTCGCGTAGGCGTGTCGTGCAGGTGGGGTCAATCTGTTTCCTTTTGAAAGGTTTTCCGGAGAATTCCTGGGAGTGGTGCAGTTCGCCACTTTTCATGCCACCAGAGTGCCCCTCACCCTCCGTGGCACAGACATCAGCAGCTTCGATGACCTCATGAAGAAGGGCGGCTATGAGTACAGCCGCGCCACGGACGAGGTGAGACCGACCCTGGCACGAGCTCGTGCCCGGGTGGTGTGGTGACAAGAGAACGACGAAGCCACGTGGGGCCGCCCTTTGGCGTGCGGGGAGACCAGGCAGTCCTGAGACCATCCGGAATGGGCTTTTGAAGATAGGATGCGATTGGACTTTGTTGGTTACTGTCACTGGAGCGTTTTGATGAATGCAGGGTTCTGGAAAGTGAGATGGCTGATTCAGCACAAGTTGTCCATTACAGTGGGAGATTTACTGACGCCATTGTAAGTTTCCTGCATTTGTGGCTTTATCCTGTAAAAAGGTTGCTGAAAGATGCTTTCTGTTAGTATCAATTCCATTCTGTTGGTGCCGCAGACAATGATCTCCACAAAGATCTGCGACTTGGCCGACAGATCACATGATTTGTGCGGGCAGATAGACTATACAGGAGCCAGAATATTCTTTTGGGCTCTTTTCATAACGACAGACCTATGCTTGAGCTTGTAGAAGAACCCCAGAAGACCATGATTCTCCAGGGGAAGCTGCTGCATTTCTGGGATCACATCAACTCGACCAGTGCCAACCAGAGGCGGGCGGCGAACGAACGCCCGACGATTTCGGCTCGGCTCTCGGTTTCCGGCGATCTCGGCTCTCGGTTTACGGTTTTCACTTGGCTGTTTCACTCGATGACTGTGAGGGCGTTGTGGAAATCTGAGAACGTTTCGCTTGACCATCATTTTGTTGCTGCTGGTCCTGATCCTCTTGATCATCCTGATCATCGCTGGGTGGCCCAGAAAAGTATGGTGGGGTGAGTGCGAGTTCTGGCCACTCTCGCAGGATGTTCTTGTGATAGCTTCGTGTGTAGACGAATCCCGTAGCCTTTTGCATGGTTTTGGATGACATTCGTTTTGGAGCTGGTGTCCTTGTACTTTCTCCTGCCCTTTTGTGCCCTTTTGTGGCTTCTGCAGCAGCTCAAAACCACCAGTTGGCGGACGGCGTGTTGATCTGCGCGATGGAGGAAGTGACCGACTTGGAGCTCTGGGCCAACCGGATTGCGGACTTTCTGATCGACATGCGCCTCAGCTATGCCATCATTTTGTGCAGCATTCTGAACATGGCCCGTGTGCATATTGAAGCAAGAGCGCAGAGAATTGCATTCTGGCAACATCTTTCAGAGCGGCACCAAAAAACCGTGGTGGGCAGTGAGCTGCGTCTTTGGACTTCTCCCATCCTTCTCAGCGGGGTGATTGTTCTCATGATCTTGGTCGTGGCAGACAATGATTTGAGCCACTTCTGGGTGTGCACATGTTTGATTATTGCTGGTGCTGCGGACCTGATCGATTGGATCGGCCACTTGACTTTTCAGAGTCTGTTCTTTTTTTTTCCCTGACATTGTGATTTTATGGTGCCTTTAGATTGGGGTGTTTGATTCCCGAGGTCGTTGGCCTGCACTGCCATTTGACCTTTGGTATCATCACATGGGCGTTCTCTTGCTTTTGGTGCAGTTCGGAGACTTTGGCGCAAGAGGCCAGTGGCAAATTGTCTGGTTGGGGGGTCGGTGTTGGACTGCAGAGCATTGCCAACCATATGTCGGCCCGTGTGTACTACTCACCTGACGTTGCCACAATGCAAGTAGGAGTGCGCTGGCAGCATGCTATGATTCCTGTCAAGGTGCTCAACATGGCTGCACTTTTTTGGCGTATCTACAAGGGATTTGAGGACAAAACTCTGCTGTTCGCAGCACTGCGCTCCGCGATGCTCTTTGGCTATGCCTACACCGCTGTGCACGCGCATCGGTTTTGGTGTCGATTTGACTGCAAAGATTATCATGAGAAACATCAAGCTGTGTGGGGCGGAGCAAGTGTGACACGTCCAACGGTCATGGGAGCTCCTGCACCACCGACCAGCTGTAGGCACCGGTTGGAACGGGCTGAGACTGCACCACCAGTTTGAGGCACAAGGGCTTCGATTTCTCGACTTGTGCGGAACCTGAGCCACATGTGCCAGGGATGGGGAATTCATTTGATTTTGATAGCATGATAGCAGCTGATAGCATGGTGTGTGCAGTATGTGGAACAATTTTTGAAAGCTGCAGGCGAAGGCCTTGTAGTGGTTGATTGCCACTCACACTGCTCCTTGGGTCTGCCATTTGTCCGCGATGGGAGAGCTTTGCTTGTTTGCCTAAGAGACCGCACATGCCCACGTGGGTGTTTTGAAGGCACACGAGCTTCCCTGGCCTCTGGTAGATGTTTTATGACCTCGATGCGGAGGGAGAGTGCTGCTGGTAACCCCCACATGCGTCGTTACCCCTGCATCTCCGCCCGACGCTCGAAACTGCACAGAAAGGCAGTGAGTGGCCTAAAGGCCGCCAGTCTGGCACACCGATGCATTCCGCTGTTGGGAAGAAGCGAGCCAGTGTTCTTTTTCCTTTTTTCAGATGCACGCTGCAAGCAGTAGCATCAGCAAGCAGTAGCATTAGCAATAGTGTCAGCAGTAGCAGTAGCAGTGTCTGGCAGCAAGCAGTAGCATCAGTTTGAGCTCCTGGACTCTGAGAAGTGGAGCCTTCCTTGTGCCCTGAGGTTTGGAGGCCGACGGCTTCACCAATATCGACGGCTTCGGCGTCCTGTGAACAGTTGCGAACATACTGTACATGTGTATACCAGCACCTGACGACTGTAGCAGGTCTCCGACATGGTGACTTTTGCAGACTTAAAATTGGCAGGTGGTGACCTGTTGGAAGGTGCTGGTAATGTATATATATATATATATTTATTTTATGTAATCATATATATGTAGTCAATATTAATATATAATGTATAGTATATATATATATAGTATATATATATATTGTTGGAACAGATCATGTCGTCTGATGTACTCTCCTTTTGGTCTTTGCGGATGCATGCGTCCAAATGGAGCTCTCTATCGGTACCCACTCGTTTAGCGCCGGAAAGTCCTGGTGCACCGGAACGGTCAGTTCCGCAGGCGCATTGACATCACGCTGCAGAAATTCATGAAGAAGTACCCGGATCACCCCTACCTGAAAGATCCGCCTCTTGGTCGCTGAACATTGGTGGCGACCGTCTGCGTCTGTGGCGCGCGCGAGGTTGGGAGGTTTGTAGAGGAGCTGCCGGGCGAACGGGAGGGGCCGGCGAAAACGGGAGGGGCTCGAAATTGGGGTGACTGAAGGACTCACAAAAAAGGATTTTTGTCGAGGGTGCTTCTTGGCCTTTGCAATAAGAACCCAAAAGTGGTCAGGCACGAAGATTCTTCGGCTTGGGTCAGACATGAAGCTGTGGCAATATATGAAGAGCAATTGACAGAGCAAACCGTCTGAGATAGGGGTATGCTTTTGGCAAGCTGCGATCTCTTTGACCATTTCTTGAGGATACATTATCAGTTTCACACCGCGGCTCCACAACGAAGTGTGGACAACGGCGGCTTCCAAACCTTGTTTTTGGTGCTCGAAGAAGTGGGCCGCTTGACGGTCCCCGTGACGGTTTTTTACCGTGGTTGGTTGGCGGTTCTGAGGACCTGTGACTTCGATCCAGAGGTCTTCTATCCACATTGGCCTGAGGGGAACTTTGACTGATTCACCGCAACTTGTGGCCCATGGGTCTAGAGCCAGCTAGCTGGCGAAGAAGGATGTCGCGGGATGGTCGTGAGAAGCCTTCTGAAGAAAGAGAGAGAGAGAGAGAGGGAAATCCTAATTCTTCCACTGCTTTGGTTTGAAACTGGCAGTCCAAACATGTCTCATACAGTACAAAGCAGCATCACAAAGAACAGCGACAAGAAGCATACTAGAAGCACGTCAATTCATGATGGTACAGGCAGGTATGTTTTGTAAAATAGAGAACCTTAAAGCTAAAGCCTATATTGGATCCTTGAAATGATACATTTGGTCCAGAGCGGAGTTACTGAGTCTGGCCAGAAGAGCTCCATGTCCATGACCATCTCCGACCGTGCTGAAATAGACCACGGGAGACCTACTCTTCGCCAGTTCCAGGGAGCGTTTACTGTGACAAGGAACATCGATGTACCTACCCACGAGAGATCCGTTGGAACCGGTCCTCGCCCCAAAATTCGCTCCCAGCTCCCAGCTCCGTTGGGAGGTCTCCCTAGTTGAATGGCCTCTTGAAACAAAGATCATTTCAACGAGGCGAACCTTTGAAAAGGCGCTCTTCCGTGCTTTTGTCCTGCTTCCTTCGTGCTGTTTCGTGTTTCGTGGGATCGTAGCAGGTGCCCCCTGCAGGCTGAAGGGGAGGGTCGGATTTCCGGAGTCTTCACTTCCACCCCAGGGCCGAGCGTCTTTCCAAACATCTCCCCATCGAAGCCACACGCCCCAGCGAGGCACCCCTCGGCGACCTCCAAGGTTGTCATTTTTTCAATCCAACCCGACCCTGCAGAGGGGACCTGTTTTCCTCTTGGGGTCTGAACACGGTCCCTTCTTCGAAGCGTGTGGCTTTCCCAGTCCTCCCCTTACAGTGGTTTCAGAATAGATGGCTCAAACCCAAAGATGTCATTTATAGGGGGTCCATTTCAACCACCAAACTTGGGGGTTGCGCCATCAACCCTCTGAAACCGCTGTTTGTTCCTCCGGGAGAGCCCTTCCTCATCACTATGGTGTGCGCGGGTCCTTTGACATGGAAGCATACGACTCTGCCACGTGGCCAGGGATGCCCCCTATCGCCAGCGCTGCTGGTCCACTGGTCGGGGGCCTGGGGCGAACTTTGCGGGGCCTGGTGATCGGTTCCGGAAGCCCGAAAGACAGTCAGAGTCACGTGCCCGGCGTGCCCCAAACACGAAAGATCCGCAAGCATGACGTCAGACGAGTCACACCCCACGGAACATGTACGCGGTGAGTGCTCAGTGCTGTGTTGGATCCAAAGGGTTGTCCCAGAAGCCGAGGGAGACTGACTGCAGTCCGTTCGTGGGGATCCGGCCCATCGGCGGCGAGTGCGAGATCCGCTCTTTGGTTATTGAATAACCTCTTTGGCATGGGACGCGTTCATCTCGTCTTCGAGTCTACGGACGGATGTGTCTTCCGCTCCCCGGACGGATCCCGGCCGAGACGACCGTTCCGACCCTTCCGACGTCTCGAACGCCGGTCGTGGTCCTTTCGCTGCACGACGCGGGACGGTTTGGACGGTTTGGATGGCTTCATCCACAAGGCTTTTCTCACGAGTGATCTTCGTGGGGATGCCGATGCTGCTGGTCTCGCTGCAGGCGTGGGAAGAGTCGGGAGCGCTAAAAACGCGCGGAAAAGGGAGGCGGTACCTTCTTGTGCTGGGTCTGGTGTGGCAAGTGACTGGCAAGTGGTATGTTGCCATTTCACCTGTTTCAGGAGATCCATAATTTCAACCGCAATGGTGCTTGCTTTCTTGGGTTCTCCTTTCGAAAGGAACCATTCGACACTCCGGACTCCAGACACCTCATTCTACCGAAACCTCTCTTCGACACCTTCGCACGACCGCCGAGACACCGACCGGATCGGTGGATGCATCGTGTATGGATCGTCCAGGTGGACCTTTGCTTGCCCTACAGCTGGATGTTCCCCCAGAGTGCGATGGTGGGCCTTTTAGTCTGCGGAGGCCGGTGGATGTTCGACGCATTTGAGGGACAGTGGGGCTTTCTAGAAAGAAACGCGTTGTTCCATTTTTCCAAGCCTCTTGCTGGAGTGATTTCAAAGGAGCAGGTTCACCATGGTTCGCCATTTACTGTAGAAGAAATGCTTTGAAGATCTTTGAAGAAAATCTATAAAGCATTGGTTGAAGTTCGTTCCCAAACCAATCACAGATGTCGACATACGTCCTGCAAATATTGCACATGGACCAATGCTCTCAAACAATTCGGATTCTATGCGGATGTGAAGAAGCTGCAGAAGAGCGCAACAAAAATAGCTCAATCTGAAAACAACACATCAATTGGTTTGAACAACATAAGAAAGAGAGAAAGAGAGAGGAAGCATTTTGGAGTGGGGCATCAAGTAGATCCAAGCAACTTACAATATATATAACTAATATTACTACAATATAGTTTGCTACTGTTTCGACCGGTTGCCTGGTGACACTTGCGGCTGGCAGAGGTTGCGTGCTGATATCGCTCAAGTTCTGTGTGATGTGCCATTGCTTGGCCAGCCAAAGGCTCGCGCAGGCGGCTGGCGCGCTCGCGCCGGTCCGCGCCGGTCCGTTCCGGTTGTGCGGTTGCGGTGAGGTACAGGAAAGCATGGTGGATGAATGGCGCGATCTGCCCACTGTGGGGTCTCCAGTTTATTCCAACGAGTCCGCGACTCCTGTGAGAAGCTGTATGGCGTGGCATGGCTGGGACACCCCAAAAAAGAGGAACCCCGCGGCATCCGAAAATGATTCCACGGACACCACCGAGAAATGAACCGATTCCTCTCTGACTTGAAGGGGTGAACGTTTGGTGAGCGCCACCCTCCGTCGGACCACCGTCCGACACTTCGAGACGCCGTGGTGGGGCGCGTGCCAAGCCAGGGAAGTGACCGACCCAGCCAGGGCGACCGGCCAAGTGCAGATGTAGCTGAAGAACAACTGACTGTAGGTTTCGAGGTCGATGGGCGGGATCAACAGTTGACGTTGAGACCACAAAGTTGATCAAAATTGCCGTTGCTTTGCAATGGTCCACTGGGTGCCACTTCTCCTCCCTTGGGGTTTTGAGAACGAGCAGGCTCGCCGGAGAATGGAGTTGGTGATGAAAGACCCATGGTTAGACACCTTGATTTGCTCTCAAGAAGCAAAGCGTTAAGACGATCACAGAGCTAGACAGTGACCAGGTATTCTGGTTGCCTCAATCCAGGGCCAAGAACTCGTCACACCACCACTGCGGCAATGTGAGAATTGTCATAGTGTTGCAAGCTGAAAACTGATTTTCAATGTGCGTGGACAAAGCGTAGGTACGCTTGAACATGGCGCATTAAGCTGCTCCACAGTTCCCTCCCTGCGACAAGAAGCCGCCCAGATTGCTTTTTGAGGGCAAGCAGAGTCCCTGACTTCCGAAAGTGCTGCTCCAATCAAGGCCCACCGTCAGCTGAGTTCATGTATCCAATAGTCGCGACAGGCTTCAAGTGCTTCCGGTTCGGCTTCTCAAGTGCGGGCTCGGAGGGTGGGTGTTTCGATCTGCAGGCCTTGGTGCTGGTGCTCCTGCTGGCCTCTGATTGGATTAGCTCACTGCACCTGATGGACTTGGTCACCGACGATGCCAAGGCGAGGGCGGATGTGAGCGCGCGGATGCCCCGGGCAAAGCCACGCTGTGTTTTGGGCGCCCCGGGTTTGAAGCCTCGGTTCAAGCGTCTTGAGTCAACGATGCCCGCAGGACTCCATGCTTCTTTACCTCCTGCTCGCTGCAGGCATGGTGGGTGAGGTGGCGTGGATGCTGGAAGCATGCAAGGACCCACATGAGCACCGCTGGTTCTTTTGGGGAACATCGGGGGCGGCGATCGTGAAGCCGGGGCAGCCCGTTTGTTGTTGGGCCCCGCTGCAAGTCACCTGCAGAGGTTGCGCATTTGTGCTGTCCCCCCGTTGTGCAGGCGTTGTGCAATTGAAGAGTTCGCTCAGCAGGCCACGGCGGTCCTGGCGATACTGGTGGCCAGCATGCTTTTTGAACCACCTTGAAAGTCCAGGTTTGACTCATTTTACACCGGCTTGCACTCGTGTTTTTGGTGTTGCCGTGGTGAGGGAACCATGATGTTTGGAGCGACAAAAGCGCAGGTTGGGCGGGGCGCATCCTTGGTTGATCCAGGGGCCATGCAACAAAGCGCCCACTGATGCCTGCATCAACCAAGAAATCATAATACATTCCCATTCAAACGACCCAAGTCTGAACCCAAAACCCAAATGGCGCAGACTCTCGGACTCTCAGCCACCACCGGGCGAGGCTTAGCCTGCGCTCGCGCTGGGCACGGGCCTGGCGAGCCCGGCGGGCGAGGCGAGAAGAGCGAGGGAAAATGGGAAGGTTGGGCGGTTGGGAAGTTGGCTGGACCAAGTGTTAAATGGACAGATGGATAAATAGATAGCAGACTTAGTATATACCCTCCCTGAAATCGTCATGGAAGATCATGGAGTTGACCACCTCTTAGCAGAGGAAACCTTCCATAGAGTAGAAACCTGTCTAGATGCCGGCAGCTTCATCGGCCGTTTGAAGTTTTTTTTCCCGGCCCGGGATCTTGCGGAGTCGGCGTGTTTTTTTTTGCAACAGGGAGACTGATCGATTTCTCGGACTGGTCGATTTTGCGAGCCTTCCAATGAAATTGGAAAGGTTGCTTCGACAAACTGCGATAGATGTTTTTTTTGGTCTCCCTGAATCCGGTCTGCGCTCTTTTGCCGATGGTTCTGGAAGGGGGCACGGCGCAGATCAAGACATCCAACAGGCAAATCAAACGAATCACACGGCGCCGCAGCCACTGGCCACTGCACAGATTGATGGACTCTAGACTCTAGATGATCACAGACCAGCTTGGCCCTTTTCCGTCTGATTGGATTTTCTCTCTCTCTCTCTCTTTTTTTTGGCTCGGTACTCCTTGCATCGAATTCTCCTCTGTGGGATTCAAAGCCTTCCGGGTCCCAGTCTGTCAGCGGAGCGAATCGACGCCATACCGACTAGGCAACTGGAGTGCCTCTCTCTCTCTCTCTCTTTCTCTCTCGGTCTGTCTGCCTGGCTGGCTGCCTGCCTGTCTGCCTGCTTGCCTGTCTGCCTGCCTGGCTGGCTGTCTGTCTGTCTGTCTGTCTGTCGCAGCATGGCCCAGCAACTTCCGCTGTTCACCCACATCCCCATTGTTTGTGGAACCCCACAGCCGCCAATTCGGAGCGCCCAATCGATCGCACCGATGGCGTCGATCGGAACGCACGGGGTTGCGCGAGCCGGGGTGTTTCTAGGCAGATGGGAAGCGAGCTGGCAAGCTCAATGACTGTGTTGGAGGCTCAGAAGGATTCTTGATATTGCTATGCTGGCTGCTTCCAACCAGCAAACACCTGGTTTGTTTGATTTTCTTGGTGGGAGATGAGAAGGCTTCGACGCACTCCAAGCATGGCATGCTTTCTTGTTGGTGTGGCATCGTAAGACTTCCCCAATCGGCCCAATCGGGTCAATGGGGGCGATGACAACAATGGTCAGTGACAACACGATGTGGATTCCGCCCGTGTTGAATCGGTTTGGGAAGTTATGGCAGACTTCGACACGTTGAATCTTCCGTTTGGGGTTGTCATAAGGGATGACAAAAAAGAACACAACAGTCGCAATAGGTTCAAGCATAATTCAAAGCAATGTCAATATCGATCGAATCGATCCTTCTTTCCATCCCTTCTCTTGTGTTTTGAGCCTCGCTTCTTCGTCGGCACGGTCCGCCCGCCACCTCCGACCGCCCCCCTCCGAGGGAGTCCTCCGACAGCGACAACGAGCAGGGGCGCGGCGACACGGGACCGAGTCGGGCGCGCGGTCCGCGGGCGAAACCAGTGAAAACCCGCGCGGTGGGAGCGGGAAGAGCCATGGGGCGGGCAGGGACACCCTCGGCTGCTGTGTTTTTTCGTGGGTTTTGCGGAGCGGAGCATGGGTTGGAGCTGCTTTGTTTCGGAAGACTGGAGTGAAGTGGCTGGAGGGTGGAGGAGTCCTTTGCAGTAGGGGCACAGACAGGTGCAGTGGGTTCGGTCCCATGGATGGGAGCCGGATACGTGGAGCGCTCGTGTCCGAACGTCAACACCTGAGGCACAGCAGTCTGCCTGAAAGCTTTCATGAGGCTCGCTTCGAAGGGAAGGGATTAGATGCCTGACATCCATGCGTCTCCATGCTTGGTGGGTCTGGACTGGAGCTCCTTCTTCGGGTCGCTCGGTCGGTGTTCGACGAGCAGAAAGCAAAGCGACCCAAATGAGAGGGAGCACATCGTATGGATGGAGCGTGCGGAAGGACCTGGCAGCCGGAGCAGGCTTTTGATTTCAGACTGCCAGATTTACCGCTCCAAGTGGTTTCTATCGTTGGGACGAGGGATGGACTCCATGCCAAAAAGGCCACAGAAGAAGTTCTCGGACACGGAGTGGAGAGAAGAAGAGGCATAGGTCAGTCATCCAGCTGTACCACCCACCCATGGATTCATGTAAGTATGTTTAAATGCCTGGTGCACAGGACTCTTCTCTGAAAGAACATGAAAGACACAAACTCCCAGCCCCCAGCACCTTCCAAGGGCTTTAGCCGTTTTGGACGCTTCACTATCCTTCCAAACCGGGATCTTCCCTACACCCCGAAGGTTGGGTCCTTGAGACCTCTACGGGTGATCCCGCACCTGAGGCCCCCCCCAAGACCGTACGACGAGTCGAAGCAGGCATTGGTCGCCTTGCTGGGCTTCAACGTGAGGCAAGAGCCCTCCAGTCGGCAGTTCCTCTGCGGCGTGCGCCTGGTCCGGAGACCCAAAAAACACAGGTCCACCATGAGGTATTTGGAGTGATCGTTCTGTTTCATCCTTTGTCCTATTCCTCCTCCTCCTCCTCCTCAAGTGGCCCGGCTGAGGCAGTGCCTCAAAATCAGCCGCCAGACATCCCTGCACCAACCCCGGCGCCGCAGGCAGGTGGGGGCACGGGGAGCTCCGAAAGCCCCGATGGCTCCCGGTGGATTCTGCACCAAGGGGAGGAGACTTCAAACATTTTCAAAGCCTCCCGGTGCAAACCTGAACGGCTCCGGACCGGGACCCAAAAGCCTGTTGAAACTGTTCCCCAGCCCTCCTCTTTCTACAGCCTGGGGGGCTGCTAAAACTCGCGACCCTGATAGATAGGAGTTGGAACCGGGGCATGGCACTCACTTGTGCGGAAAACGCCTGGCTTACGTATACACGCGCAAGTTGGAAGGATGAGAAGCCTCTTGAGGAGTGTGTGTCTGCAGCATGACAATATACAGCAAAAGCAGCCTGACAAGCTTCCTCGCAGTTGCCCCAGAACTTCTTGCTTCTGCTTCACATGCATGTAGGAAGACGCTCTTCAAATAAAAGCTTAAACCCGAGGGTAAGATTTAGAGGAAGAAGGTGCCATTCCAACGGTGCATGCCTTTGGTGAGCCACCCAAGGTAAAGTTAAGGGAAGCTTAGCGGAGTTCGGTGTTCGTCTGTCGACCCCGTGCGCAAGTGGGACCCTAGCCACTTGGAGCTCCTTTGCAGCACAGACAGGTCTTTCCTTCAGCACGGCCTTGACCGATCCACGCCGCAGGTGGCACCGGCGCCTGCTGCGCCCCCCGGTGGCACCCCCGCGAGCGGTCCGACGGGAAATCCGCCGGCGGCCAGTCCGCAAAGCACAGGCGCAAGGGACGGAGGGACGAGTGGTGGCATCCCTATTTTAGCTATTATTTGCACTGAAAGAAATAGATCTGTACTTAGAGCACAGAGGGCAAGAGTAGTCTCTTGGCGTCGGGGGGTCTTGCATCGAGTGGCCGGGGGGTTTTGTTGTGTTTTGTTCTGCTTTTGGTCGTGATTGAGTGTAGAAGATGTGTCAAGAAGCCTGGCGGAGCCATTGACTTGATTGATCATGTGACTGCATCAAAAGGAGGGGAGACCCAGCAAAAACACAGCAGCTGTTGAATTGCATGAATGGCCTGAATCCCTTCAAGGGCTCCCCTCGAAGCCATCCTGGTGCCAGCAGGGTGGCTGCCAGAAAGTGTTGCTAAGAGGGTAGAATGCCCCCCTTGGTTTGGGCACTAAGACTGTGCAATTCGATTTCTTTTCTTTTCCTTCCTTTCCTTCCCTAAAGCCCTATCCATACCTGGACACGGACATCACGACAAGGACATTTGTTGAAACCAGTCTTACGCGGAACACCGAACGCTGAAGGCACGGAGCCGCCTCCGCCGGTTTTGCTGCCCCTGGAGATCTCGCGGGGAGCCCGAGCCGGGTGCCTTCCTCACCGAAGGAAGGCCTCCGGTGTAAACGGTACGGGACCCCGGTTTCATCTAACATTCTGAACATGATGGCAATCAGCATCATTTAGAGACTTGATATATCCCAAGCGGGTGTTCCATGTTGACGATGTTGGATGCTTGCCAATGCTTGCCAGTTGGGACGCTGCCAGCCCCAACTGCAAATCACTTGGTTTCTTCAAATGTGAGCACCTTGAATTTCCATGCCAAGCTCGGAGAGTTTCCACAATCTGGGGCCATCGGGTGCGAATCTTTGTGAGGGATACGGGATACGATCTTGTGTTAGGCTGAGGAGGTGTAGAAAAAAGACAAGTAAGGCATAGAAGAGAGAAGATAGATAAAGATAGATGAGGTGGATGACAGCAAGAGATTTCCTCAAGATTCCAACATTTAAGGAATTCCCATGAAGGAGGGGGGAGCTTTCCCAACATTCCCGAAAGGTCACCTGGGGCTCTAGGGCTCATTCTTGCCCGAATCCCCGACAAGGTTCCTGAACCCCGACCGGGAAGGAAGTTGAAGGAGCTTGGTGCGGTCCAACGCGAGTGGAAACCAATGTACCAGAAAGCCTGAAACATGTCGTTGGATTGTGAAGGTGAGAAGTTTGTGGCAGTTCAGCACCTTGTGCTATGTAGACTCTCGATTAATAAAACAAACCCTCCATTTGGACGCAAAACCTCTTCATACGTTTTCTTTTATTGATCAAGAGTCTACATTAGGAGCATGTTGTCCCTTGTTTTGTGTGATTTTGGGACGATTTGTGGCTGGGTCAATCTCACCGACAGCCAGGTCAGAGCACGAGAAGTGTGTGGTGTGCATGGCGCGGATGGGGTGGTGTCGCTGGGTTCAGGTGCTTGTAGCCATGAAGAGCTGGGGATGCTGCCCTTGAAGATCAACAGATATACTTTCTGCTGTGGGCTGCCCTTGGGCATGTGCTGCATTCTTGCATTTCCGCAGTGTATTCTAGGTGCTGGTTCACGGAAAAAGGCTCAACAGACTTGGGGGCGAGACTCTGGTGCCTGCAGCATCCTCACGATTTCTATCTGAGAGCACCGTCTCGAGAACTCCCTCCAGAGCCCAATTGACCAAGAGGTGTGTTCACTCACTTTGCATGACCAAGAGCTGGTGACGTCCATCTCTGCAGGAAGAATTCCAGCCCGGCGACCGGGTGAGGCGCGGTGGCGCTCGCGCCATACATCGCGGTGTGTTTTCCACGTCGCGGGACGGAGGCGAGGCGGTCGGTGAGAGGAAGCGCCGAAGAACCCCCGAAGAATTGGGCATGCAAAATTTTTTTCGGGGCCAAGAGACCTTTCTGCTGCGTTGCAGCCTGAAACCTTCCCCTTCTCTTTCCCTTCTCTTTCCGCGCAGTCCATCCTCGCGGAATGAACCCGCCGATGAAATCTCGGCCCGTCAGCCCCGAGGCCTTTGCCCAAGTGCGCACACGTCTTTCATGCCAGCTGCCTGGAGCAGTGGATCATGACCGGCAACAGCCGGGAGGCGCCGAAGTCTGGACGGACCGGCTTTGGACTCGTCGACGAGTCGGACGAGTCCAAGCGGGGTTTTTCGTTGTTCCAAAGGCGGTTCAACGGAAGTGCCAAGAGAGCCTACACCAAGTCCTGTTGGTGAACCCCTGTCGCTCGAGTGACAATGTCAAATCCTATATACAAAACGTTCCTACAACAAAAAGGGCGTCGACCTAAAGTGCCCTTTGAGGTTGGCATGGGAGCTACGTACACCAAATATCATGCCTGTGTCCATCAACATCTCCTGCGTTTCAGAGTAGCCATCATGATCCCTCCATTCCATATTTTTTGCTATTGTTTGTGTTTCGAGGTCGACATAGAACCCCCAAACCCCAGCGCCGATTCTCCCCTCTTCCCCTCTCTCTCTCTATCTCTTTGTTTCTCTTTTTCAACTGTCATCTTCAAGTGCTCACAGGTGACCAGATTCACCCACCGTCGTCGATGCAATGGTCTGGAAGAGATAATGCGAAAAGCGCAAAGCGTACCAGGGAGGACTTGAACCTCTACACTCATGTGCTGACTTTGCCAGAGTGGCAAAGAGAGACGATGCCTCCTCCAGTGGGCAGCTGGTCCTCTTACCACCTGGGGTGAACTGTGCACTTGGCCTATGCATTGAAGGATCACCGTCAATGCAGAATATTGACAAGTGCGTGCGACGTGAGCAGGAGAGCACAGTGCTGCGGGGCAGCGCTTTGCAGAGGTATTTCCTCCAAATCTCCGTGGTCTTGCTTGGAAACCCAGCACGCCAAGCAAGCTCCGCACCGTCTCCCGCGCGGTCGTCGCCGGTCGGTCGCGAGGCGACGAAGTGCCCGATGTGCCGGCGCCCGGCGCTGGCCCGGAAGCAAGAGAAGGCGCCCTTTGGCCTCGGGCCCACGGGGGTCGACGGTGACGGTCCGACGTCGCGGCGTTTTGGCCGGGAGACATTGGGGGAGGGGCGGTTTGGGAAATCTGCTTGGGTGTTTAGGTGACTGGGTCATCTGAGTCAAGGGACTTAAAGAGCAAGTGAGTGCCCAAAGACACAAGCCTGGAACGTGCTGACAAGCCTGGGTCTTTCACAAGGACATCTACAGGACCCCCGCATTGGCCTCTAAACGCTTCAAGACATTTTGCAGATCAGGACTTATATGTTTGGGTCAACAATTTCTAGGAGATGCCCGTGTTGAACTCTGTTTTCGTCCCTTGGCTTTCAGAGTGTGAACCTCCGGTGGTTCCAGCTCTCCACCATTCCCAAGAAATAATATATATATTCGATTCAAAAGAACATACCGATCCAAGAGCTGACACTGTAACGTCCCGCACGGAAACCTGTTCCATCCACCCTTCTCTATTGTGTTCTCTCGTTGTCACCTTCGTCACTCGCCTTGGTCTCTTCTTGTCTTCGCAGCACAGACTGGACTGGAGGACGTCTTTCTTCGCTTCTCCGGTTCCCGCGACCGGTGCAGTCCACGAGCTCCGCAGGGCTCCACGAAGCTCTCGGAGCTCCATGTGGAGCCGACGGTTCCGCCGGGAAGCCGGGCGGAGTGGGGCGGAGTGGCTGGGCCAGGAATCGGCCCGACAGGGCTGGAACTGTAGGGAACGGCACCGTTGGCTTGTGACTTGATGAAGCCGCCGATCCGAAGTATTTACAGTCTTTCTTTGTTGTACTTGATGGATTTAGCCTAAGTAGACAGTATTTATCATGTCATTTACATGTATCATTTATCTTGCAAGTCTTTTATTGCACCTCTCCGCCCCTCAGTGGTGTCGCCGCTTCGCCCCGTCGCCCCGCTGCCGCTCGCTCGCCTTCCCCACCTCTCGCCGCTTCGCTCTCAGGTCCGGGCGCAACAGCCGCGAGGGCCGGCGCTCACAGAGGTCGGACCAACCGGGGCCCGGGGACTTGGTGAAGAGGGACGGGGGAAGCCAGGCAGTTGAACAAGCAGAACTAGCAAGACCGGTGGAATGAGCGTACTGGTGCGTACAGTGGGAAAAAGGGGGTGTCGGTCCTGACTCTGCCGTCGTTTTTCATCATGAACATGCCAATTGGCCCAGCAGTCACAAGGGGGTGCTTCATGGAGGAAGTTGGGGTGCCCAGAACATCCACTGGATGGGACTAAACACCACCCCTTGGCCATCTATTCTTTCTTCTTCACTCCCTTCAGAGCCGACATCCATCCGCCATTGGGCTGCCCCATGGGAGCCACGTGCCTGAAACGATCGCTCACGCTGAGGGAGCCACGTGCGCCGCGCACGCGGAGGCGTGGGCAGTGAGATCCGCTGAGGGAGACCCATCCCTTTTCACCGCAGAGTCCGTTTGTCTCCGGTGTTGGTCGCCCAAATGTTTCAGGAAAAGACCTTCTTATGAGTGATTCACCATCTTCCCTCCACTTCGAAGATCGATTCCTTAGGGTCCCGGCCGGGCCGCGCTCCGCAGCCAGGCCGCCCCGGCGGCCGAACCGCTCCCAGCAGCTCGCCGCGCCTGGGTGGAAAGCTCGTCCAAATCGTTAGCTCTGTCGACGGCGAGGGTTCGGGAGAACGTTTTTAGGGTTCCGTTCTTCTTCCGATCGAGGTGGATCATGCTGTGGCAGTTTTTGACATATATTTTTACTAGCTACTGGAAGATAATTTTCATGAATTTTCCCTGAAGTCGTTCGTACATGGTCATGCCCGATGTCAGTTCCGAGACCTGATTCACCATGGTCGCCTGGCGTGGTCCTTTTTTCGCTCATGAACCTTTTTGGTGGAAGAGATCCATGATGAGCTCAGATCTTCTTGTCCCAATCCGACCAGGTGCCGTGTTCGATTCCGGGGGGCGCCGTTTTCTGTGCCGTTCTGTTGGGGACAACGGCGCCGTGTGTCCATATGGGCGTTTTTGAGCTGGGGACAGGATACCATATATATCCATATACGATGATATCACATAGCATACATGTATACGCAAGAACTACACCACCCCTATTGTCCATGAATGATCATGAATGTATGTTTGCTGTGAAGGATGCGAACGTCTGCACATGCATGGCTAGGTCCAGAGAATTTGTGGCTTGCACCCACATTCAAAACACATTACTGCTTTGCCTAACCTCGAGGCTGTTTGGCACCATGTACGAAGCAGACTCTTTTCCAGATGGGTCCACACAATTGCCATACACAGCAGTATGGCCCAGGAGTTCCAACATGGGGGTGTTTTTGGAGGGCAGGGATGCCTATTCTCCACTGAAGGCCCTTCGGACTCGCTCGCCGTGCTTCTTCTTCGCCTCGGCGCGCCATCCCTTGAGGTCCTGAGCTCGAGCCTGGGTGTCTCAGAGCTCATGGCACAGGTGGCTTTGGACATCTCCGGCTCAGGCGTTGTTCTCCTCGACAGCCCGGTTCGCACGACGCACGACTCGACGCCGGACGGCGCCCGTCGAACTTCGGACGACGGCGGAACTTCCGCGGCCAGTCCGGTGGAGGGAGGATCAAGCTTCGAAAGATCTGAGGGGAGTGCCAGTTTGGGGGGCGGGACGTGGTTCCATTTTTGCTAAAGGTTTCCTCAACCTCTGTTGGTTAGTCCGGATCCGAGTCGACCGGCAGACCGTGACAGGCCCCGGGACGGCGGCGAACCTGCTTTTGGAGCTGCTTGGGCGAGAGTGGTGGGATCACTGCTGGGTGTGGTGTGCGCGTGAGTGTCTTGCTGGTGATGAGCCCACGAAGTTCTGGAAAAGAAGTAGAGTTCTTGACGTTGGTCTCTGGAGAGTCAGGGGAGGAGCTAGAAAGAAGTGGAGAGTTCAATGGGACCTGTGACCATTCCGACCTATACATTTGGATACATTTGGAACATGTTGGAACTTCATTTGACAGACACTCTCTGGGTCCAACCCGGAGGTCGTCTTTTTCTTCGTCCGACGTCTCGTCTGGTCCGGCGGTTCGGATGGGTTGGTTCGGGGGTCCCAGTGTTTGCATGCTGCAAACGGGGTTAGCGGATAAAAGCCGTGGAGCATGAAAGCTAGAAGAACCAAAGGCGATGGATCTTTTGCGCTTTGACATCGGTCTAAGTGACCCGACTCGGCCCAGCTGGTCTGAAGATGTGGGTCTGGATGTCAGACGTCCAAGGCATCGTTCGGTGCTGGAGAGCGATTACACACGAGGAGCGGGGTCGCGATCGAAGGGTTGGATGGATATCGAAAAAGATTCATTGCTCAACATTTCAACGGGGTGTTTGTGGGAATTCTCCAGAATTGCAATGTTTGTTCTCCTCCAGCTTGGTCTTCCGAGGCTGCAGCCTCTGTTGGGCCTTTTCTCTGCTGGACCGGTGACATGTTGGGCCACGGATCGCCTCTTGCCGGGGCCATGGAGCCTCCCATGCACCGTTCCGGGCCTTCCAAGGGAGCCTTGAACCCTTCGAAAGACCGTGTGGTGAGTCGTCGGGCGCTGCGCAGGACGCGGGCGCGGGCCCTTTCCGCTGGAAGACGCCGTGCCTCACGTCGTGGCGGCGCGGGGTTCGGGAAGGGCACACTGAAGAAACGCCTCACATTGTTGAGCCTGGATGGCAGGAGGTTTACTCCGTGTCTGAATGGGAAGGTGAGTTTGGATTCGTCTGATTTGCTCCCAATCTTGCAGCGTCATCTCCTGATTCTTTCGGCATCCGCCAAACACCGCCGCCCCCAAACTTCCCAAACATACCGTTCTTCATCCATCCCTGCTCCTGAACTGGAGCTGGGCTGCCAGGCCAGCCCATCGCTGGTGGGCGCAGAGGTCTTCCTGGCGCGGCAGCTGCGGCAGATCGCCGCGTACCTCGTTCCGCGGTTCGGCCCCGGTGTGGGCGGGTCGCTGGGGGCGGGCGGGTCGGTCTCAGTCGTTTTTGGGGCGGGCGGGTTGTGGATGATGGCTGCCGTCCTTGTTGGGGAGGCCCTAGAACTATTGTATTCATGCGGATGGTATGTAACATTTATCGAATGTAACTTGGTCGAACATCAGGGGGGTCAACTTTGCCCACAGAGAATCCGTTGATTGAATTTACAGCAGGGGGGAATCCCACAATGCAGTTGATTGCCCAACGAAGAGGGCTGCAAGTGTGGCTGATATCTGGAAAGGACGCTTTCCAGACGTACCTGCTCTTTTTGAACTGTTGATCAAGCTGTGACCCTACTCTCCTTTAAAGGGCTAATGCATTCTGCAGATGCGAGCGATCGTTGTCATTTCGCCCTGTCGTCGCTTCGGTATCTCGTGGATTTGACCTTTGGCCTCCTAATGACTAGTGATGATCAGACCCCCTTACATGGATTTCTCAAGATTATGGTTTCCCAGGTCGCCGTGTGGCGAGTGGCTTTCCATTCAGTACGCAATATCTCGAGTGTGTGCGGAAGGTAAGCTATGGGTACACAGGGGTATTGACATTGTGCACATAAAAGCTGTCCTGCGACTAAGATCAAGGGAGTACGAGCTTCTGTTGGTCCCTTTTCTGGAAGACGTCTGGTACTGGAGAAGAGGTCTGGGAGTTTTGAGGGAGGCACCGTGCGATTAACTTGTGTTTTCATGACGCCCCCCCGTTTCTTCTTTTCCTCTTTTCCTTGACAGGAAGTGGTGAGTCGTGACGTTGCGGTCACGCCATGGTGCCTTTTTCTTCAGGCAGCACGCGCACCTGGCGATGCCCTGGATGCGGCTTTCGGCGCAAGCGCAGGAGGAGGCGCCTTGGCGGTTCACAAAGGAGACCCAAAAGAGCAAGAAAGGGAGCGAAAAGGGGCTAGACGTGGGCAGACCACTTATATAGTTACACTCCCCGGAAGAATCAGGGTTACGTGGATGGCCCCGAAGACTCGGATGACCATGAGTCTTCCGAATTCCAAACAGGCGAAGACCCTTCACTCCTGATCCTTTCACTCCTGATGTTTTCGAGTCTGGAAAGCAAGAGAAACACACATGGGTTATATTCTTCCTTGTTGACATGTTGATGTTTTTTCCCTCAAGTCTTTCTTTCTTGCTTCGCGACCTCCGACGTCTCAGACGTTGGACCGTGGTCATTTAGACTGGGCTTCGATTGGGATTTGGGCACCAGAATGGAGGAGATCAGTAAAACGAGATACCCCAACAATATCCTGGAAGCAGGAAATAGACCACAACCCATTTACTAGTTTTTGAAGTTGAATCAGTTGAACCTCGCTCTTTTTCCCAGAAGGCTTTGTGGCCAGGTCTTCCGGGAGTTGCTGCTGGACGTGCAGCGGCGCGTGGAGGCGCGCGCCGAGCGCATCCAGACGGCAGGAGAGCAGCACGGCAGGGAGAGCGGGGGGCAGGAGGGTGCAGACGTGATCTTATCATTGTGTTGGTGTATATAACTACTCAGTTCACTGGGGTCTCAAATGCATTCCAACAAAAGGTGGGTCAATGGGTTCTTTTTGATTCCCTTGAAGAAAGTTGAGAGACTCCCTGTCAACAATAATTTCATTTTAAGATCCCTGTTAAGTGCACACAGCAAGAATAGCTGACAATGTAGGTTGCTGAAGGAGTTCACATTTTTTGTTGTCTTGAAGCTTTCAAGGACTTCTCATGTTGTGGAGCTGAATCTGCTGATGCTTGAGCTGCTGCTGATGCTGGAGCCGATGGGTGCACCAAGCGCTGTCGTGCCATGGTTTCGTCATATCATCATCCCACCACCACCACCACGTGCTGCTGCTGCTGCTCCTCCTACTACTACTACTACTACTTCTTTTTCTTCTTCTTCTTCTCGTTCTACTTCTTCTCCTACTCCACTCCTACAACTACTAGATCCCATCAAAGCACCACTTCACATCCTTCGAACCGACCTGCTTTCCGCCACCAGGAGCGCCATATTCCTCCGTCCGGCAACCGGAGCGAGGCTGAGCGTCTGTACAAAACGGGCGGAGCGTCCGCACCTCGAGCCGCGAGCCGATCCCGAGGATTTGAGGCTCAGCGGACCCGGGGAATGGAGGACCCCGTCTGCGAGGAGAGGACCCCTCTCTTGACTGTTCCGTTCCGTTTGGATGAACGCACCTGGAACTCTGACCTGGGAGGGTGCAGGTTTTCAGATTGTGTCCCGGTTTCAAAGGTCAACATGCTGGGAATGGACATGGCCGAACAGGAACCCAACAAGACATGCCGATGCCAAGCCCAATGCGACCCAACTCCGATTTCAGATGGCACATCCTTGGTTCACAGGTTCCCCTCCCCGCAGCAAGTCTTCGAGGTTTAAGTCACTCCTTAGATGACCTGGCTGGAGTCCACCCCGGCTCCGGGGCAGCCTCTCGCTGGTGTGCCGAGTGCCCAAAAAGAGTTCTGCGAGGGGCTGCGTTGAGGTGAGGGTTGGGAGTTGGACGTTTTGGGAGAATTGGTTTTGACTTGCGCACCAAACGCACGGTGTCCTTCTATTCTGGAAGCACTCCCCAACGTGTCCTTCCGACGCTTGGCATCCGTTTGGTCGGAAGGCGTCCGTGCAATCCTCCAGCTGCTCCCGCCGTCGAGACGGCGCCGGTCTCCCTGCATCGTCCCCCTTTCGGCCCCCCTTCGCCACTCCTTCAGACCCCTGCGAATGGAGCGTCGAAGTCGAGAAGCGTTGAAGTCGAGCGGAGGATGAGAAAGAGAACAGAAGAGATGAACGAAGACTTCAACTTGCAGAATTCCCTCCCTGCTTATGTATGTCATGCCTGCGTGGTCGACCAAACACTAGCCGCTGGAGTTTGGATTAAGTATTTTTTTGCTGATGTATGATGTGATGCATGTATCGTGCCCTTGTGCCCGGTGCTGAGTGCTGACCTTTGTCCCTTGGTTCTCTCTTCCATGTTTGCATGCTCAAAGAGCCCTGCGGCATGAATCGGCTGCATGCTCTCTTAGGCTGCAAGCTGCAAGCTCTTGCGAGGCTTGCAGGCGAGCCATGCAATGGCAGCATCAGCTTCTTGCTTGAAGTCTTCACGCCTTGGTTGTATCTCCACGCCTTGGTAGCCTTGTGAAAGCTTCATGCATGAGCCGTTGGTAGTATCCCTGGACCCCTTGTTTGATGTGATTATGGCCTGGCTCTCCGACCCTCTTCGGCTCAGTGCATCTTTGGTTCTTCGGCAGGCGACCTCTCATCCTTGCGCCGTCCACTCTTCGCATTGCGAAGCAATGACAAGCGTATAGGTAGGCTCAATTGTCCACCGTACAACAACGGTACAACCAAGTAGGATACCACCGGTTTGTATCGTTGGACGGTCGACCCCGTTGAGACGAAAAACCACCCGCAACGCACAACACCATCGGAAAGCACCGAACCGAACGGACAACGACGCACGGCGCCTTCGCAGCAAGTCGAACGACCGTTTTTTGGGGCCCAGCTACTCACCTGCCTTGAACACTCCTACCCTCCACAGCATCAGATACATGTGACACAATTGTTCCTGCCGGCCTGATCGACTTGAAAACCATACAAAGTACCAGGCGCCCCATGACGGTGGCAACCATTTACAGAACGCTATGAGGGGCAATGAGGGTGCATTCTTGAAATGTCCTTCGAAGTCATCAAAGTGCAGCACGTGCAGAAAAACCCAGTGCCTCAACTGTCAACTCTGCTTCCTTTGACACATTTACAGCCAAGAAGATGCAAGCTTTGGGCTTTGCTTTGGAAGGCACTCTTTTCGACATTTGTTTTGATGGCCCGCGCGGGTTGTGTATTTTCTTTGTTAGGTGCGAACATCTCAGGTACAGATTGACACCAGGCTTGAAGCCTTAGCTGCTTAGCTTTCTAGTCTTTTGATCATTTCAGGGGGCCACCCGACCTCCTCATGCACCGCAGGTGAAGATGTGTAAAAAGGAAAACAACATACTGTATATATATATATATATCTATTTCTGTAATATACACACATAACATACAGGCATACACACATGCATGCATGCATGCATACATACATGCATACATGGGTGTGTGTGTGTGTGCCTTTCGGGCTGCTCTGTAAAATCATAGAAGCCATCGCCGGAGTTTTCGGGAATCTACATACTCAAAGCTGACTTGACATTGTGGGGGATAGGAAGGAACCGATGAGACCCCAGACCTTAACAAGAGAAGAATTGAATATGACAAAATGTTCAACTTGGTATATGGGATGGCAACCACAGGGGCATGGGCATCGCCAAAATTAATACAATAATATTCAGATGACCTTTGCAATGCTAAAATCGGTGAGATTAAATCAATGATCGGCAAAACAAGAAGACCATTGCTTTGCACAGCTGGACGCGTCAAGCCATAAGGCACACAGGAGTGTAACATTCGATTGTTTGAAGGTGTTACTCCCAAAGCCTCTCTCTCTCTCTCTCTGTATTTATATATATATATATATGTTTGCACCTATATGAATCTTGCCACTTCCTGCGAATTTCAGATTAGTAATCACGGGTTCTTGAACGCTCAAACTTCTTTTTTCACAGATGCTTTTGGTGCCCAACTCATTTTTGAGTATATATCTCAATGAAGCTGTTGAACTTAATTTTGCATTTCACTTTGAAAGTTGATGTGTTTCTTTGTCCACCTTCCATCTCCCAACTCCATTCCCAACATCCAAGCACCTCTTCATCCAAGTCTGTAATCTTTAATGCCCAACTACTGTATGATAGTCACCCTTGTGGATGGTAAAGGCATCACTTTTTGCACAGTAAACGCTGACACCTTTTGACTTTCTCCTAGGTCTCATACATTTCGAATTATGATGTTGTAGAAACAGTTCCTTGATATAGCTATAGCCGAAGCCATTTGAACTTGGAAACTTTTGGCTGAGAGTGACGATAGTGTTATCGAACCATCTTCATTTTCTACATTTTTCTACCAGCTCTTCACATTCTGAACAAACTTTTAATATTATGCCTGACAACCGGCAACTCCCAAAAAAATACTAGACTGAGGCAACTACTTACAATAACTTGTTTCCGTAGCAGTGGACGAAGCAGGAACACTACAAACAATTGATTATCCAAGCTTTGATTTCATTCCCTGTGATTAAACATTTATGTTTTGTATTCTTTACACTTGGAGAGCTATTGTCAGTATGAAGTTCCCCTTGACTGGAAGAAGAGTGCAAACCGAAAGGCGAGGAAGTCCGTAAGTTTGAAGGTGTTGAACAAGTTGTTGTGGTGCATTAGCGGCTTACTGCAAAACACCGTAGTAGACAGCTTGTGCAACAATTCAACCGATTAAATCACTGCAGGTACACACCAGGCAAATGTTAAAAAACCCGCAGGTACACAGAGCTGACCAGGCTCTGCTTCCAGCACAAGTGGATAGCTTCGTTGGGTGCAGTCTCCACTGTGCTCTGCACCCCCTGCCTCTTTTTGCTTCGCGTGAAGAAACTGCAAGTTAGTAGCGGTACCAGACGCCCTTAGTAGCAGAACCAGGGGCCCTAGTAGCATCCTGTACGACTCAAAACCTTAGGCACAGGTGTGGACACACACACGAAGCCGTACTCGGCGCGCTGACCCTTGCTTTCAGATTAGTAGCGTGGCCAGGAGTCGCTAGTAGCGTCCTTACAACCTGGTAGAACCGTCCTAGCGCCTAGTAGCGAGGCCAGAAGCCCCTAGTAGCGTCATTGGTGTTCGCTGGTCGCAAAACTTTGTACACAAAGCGCCAATATTGGCGCTTTTTTTTGTTGAAAACTACTAGCGACCTAAAAAGCTTTAGAAGGACAGAAAAAGCAAACAAAGCAAAAGCAGACTAAGAGGGCAAGAAGGAAAGATAGGTGTAGTTAGGAGGCCCACCTAGTTACATGAAAGTAGAATGCGAGCGGGACCTTTGGTCTTAAACCGCCCGGGTAGCTAGCAATAGAGTAGGGGAAACGGAAGGAAAGGCACCAGCACACAAGTGTGCTGAGTGCGATTTCCCTCCGTTGCCGGAATAGCGGGTGGGATAGCAACCGAGGCCCAGGGGTAGGGAGGGTGGCCTGTAGGCCTTGCCAACATTGGCTTTGCCATCATTGGCTTTCAAGTATAGCCGATTTGGGCCGGCACACCCTTCTCTGAAAGACACCTGGGGCCTAAAGAAAGGCCTCAAGAAACGAAAAGCAACAAAAGGAGAGAAAGAATCGAAGAGCGTGAAAAACATGTAACAAAGGCACCGTGCGTACACCCGCCTGTGAATAATTAGACGCATGTTTCCAAGTGAAATCAGGTGTTTTGATCACAGTAGGCCCTGCGGCATGGAATCAGTGGCATCGTGCGTCACAGCCAATCAGAGAAGATCAAAAAAAGTTCCGAAATGCACGACGGAAGATCAGGAGGGATCCCCCACACAAGGTGGGTCTGTGCACATGCCGCGCCCCTTGATGGGGATCACACCACAGCCCGCTGTGGGAGATTGTGGCGAAACACATTTGGAGAGTGGCTCGCAAGAGCTATTGTCAGTATGAAGGTCCCCTTGACTGGAAGAAAAATGCAAACCGAAAGGCGAGGAAATCGGTAAACTTGAAGGTGTTGAACAAGTTGTTGTGGTGCATTAGCGGCTTACGGCAAAACACCGTAGTAGGCAGCTTGTGCCACAATTCAACCGATTAAATCACTGCAGGTACACACCAGGCAAATGTTAAAAACCCCGCAGGTACACAGAGCTGACCAGGCTCTGCTTCCAGCACACGTGGATAGCTTCGTTGGGTGCAGTCTCCACTGTGCTCTGCACCCCTCTGCCTCTTTTTGCTTCGCGTGAAGAAACTGCAAGTTAGTAGCGGTACCAGACGCCCTTAGTAGCAGAACCAGGGGCCCTGGTAGCATCCTGTACGACTCAAAACCTTCGGCCCAGGTGTGGACACACACACACACATATGCAGACGGGTTTGTTTAAGACCCGAGTGTACTCGGCCGCTCTGTACGAATGTATTCGGCTGCTCTGTATATCCGCATGTTGTTTGCACGCTTCTGTGGCGCTCACCAAGGACATTTATGCGCGCGCGCGCGCCCCTTGTCGTGCACTTTCGTCCCGTCTTCGCCGAAGACGCACGCAGAAGACGCAGAAGACACGCAGAAGACGCGCGTACGGTATCTTGGAGGGTGCGTCAATTGTGTCATCGATGTCACAACATTGTCATCTATATCACAAAATTGTCATCGATGTCACAACATTGTCATCGATTAGTCGAGTGGGGTCATCGAAGAGGCTGGGAGGGAGACGGGAAGGACACTATCTTGAGACCTGCCTCCTGGAAGAGGGAAGGTTTTTAAGGGGAATATCGTGTTGAGCATGTTCTTCGAGCACCTGGAGCCGGAAATTCTGATTTGAGCATTTTTGAGCATCGGGTCAGAAGTAGATGACGGGATGCGGCCTTGGTGAACATGGAACATGACCCGAGGCAAAGACAGCTACGACTGTACGCGCGTTATCGCAGTTATATTTCTTAACACACTCAGGTTCCCAAGCGCACGCACGAAAATAATCGTCGACAAAGACTTGAAGCAGGTCAAGAACGTTGTGATTGTCACGAACGTCCCCATGCCTAAAAGAAGTTGATGAAATGCCCTGATGTTATTTACTTTGCAACTTGCAAAAAACTAGGCGCCTGATATTGAAGCAGGAACACATTATGTGGTAGGAACATTTCAATCGAACAATCTCCTCTGCCGCAACTTTCCATTGTTCCGAGCCTTTTTTTCCACAACTCTTTGTTACTCTTCCGCAACGACTTTTCAGAAACAACTTATCAAAGACACGTTGCGATCTGCAGAAACTACTTCGTGATCTTCAGAAACTCTTTCGCGATCTTCAGAAACTATTTGGCTACCAGAACCTTTTCGCGATTATCAAAAACTGTGTCGCGAACTTCAAAATTTATGTCGCGATCTTCAGACACTTGTTTGCATATTTCAGACAGTATACGGCAAAACTTTTGCAATGTTGTAACCAAGTTGCATGAAGGAGCGCTGGGTGGGTGGGGGGTGGGGGGGTGGGTCGGTGGGTGGGCGGGTGGGTGGGTGGGTGGGTTATTCACGTCGCTTGTGACGGCTAGGGTATATAGTGTATAAATGCCTTTTTCACGGCCTGCAAAAAATTTTACCGTGCACTTTCGTAGTTTTCGATCAAAACAAAAGTTTTTTGAAACAAGAGATGTCCAAAGACCATGTGCCGAAAAATCGTCTCCGAAAATCACTTTTGGGTTGCCGAAGAGTAGCTCCCACAGAAGTTTCCGAACAAAAAACGCAAAAACTCCGAAGAAAACTGCATAGTTTCCGAAGATTCGTGTCCGAGAAAATCGTGGAATTCCGAAGATCACCTTGTAGTTTCCGCGCGCAACTTTGATTTTTTTCATGTGGTCACAACCAGTTCAAGTGGTGAAAACCACCAACACAACATGTCAAGATAATACATTTATGAAGCAGTTGTTGGTGGCAGGCTAAAACGCCAAGGTCGTTCCGCCACGCTCCGTTTACGCCGCGTTGTCACTGTTGAAACGAAATTTTCGACGCAGTTCATAGTAGCCTGGTGCGGTTGATGGTTTTGGTGGAGGTGCCTGTTCGGTGGCAGAAGAAAGCAAACTGAAGTTGTTGCGGCACCACTTGCATCACCAAGTTGTGTGGGGTTTCTTCCACGTTTTAGGCCTGGCTGGGTCCTGTCCCCCAGTCACCTCCCCCTCAATTCGCTTAATGGCTTTCGGGCATGGCGCCATAGGGCAACACCCAGGCACATAGTTCGTCTTGCTGCCTTGGGAGGAAGGCAATATGTTTTGACAGGCCCAATTTTTTTTTAAAAAAATGCTGTTAACAAATCAGAACCGGCCGTTGAATTTTGTAAAGAAAACCAATACTTGTGGAAGGAGAAGATGCGGGAGTGCACCCCGTCATTTTCCAGAGAAAACAGCCTCGTACAAATCCGTTTCCAAGAGATGGAACCACTAAAAAGTGTCCTTGCATCTTAAATCCTTTTGTTTTCTTTGCAGCATTGAGGTTCTTTCTGACTTTGTAGCATTGACGCCCGGTCCTAAAGTACTGCCCTGTACGAAATGCACGGTAAAAGTTCCACCTTACAAAATGAAACGTTGCAAGGGCGTCCAAGCTTGTTCAAAGTCCAGTTTATTCTTTCATGTCCCATCAGAATGATGATCCTTGCGTAATCTTGGGCTAGTCTGTCCTGAATCAGCAGGCTTGCGCGGCGCGCCTCTGTAGCATCGGCGCTCGGGTCCTACAGCAAGACCCACTACAAAATGCAGGGTCCAGCTTTACAACCAGCTTTTGGTTTCATTCCCGCCACAAGACCGCAAAACTGTGTAAAATTGATGATGAATGTTGCTGTCTACAAAATGCATCTTTCTGCTCCTGTGCCCGCAAAAAATGCTTGGTGGCACCATGGTGGACGATTCAGGGAGAGTGAGAACACACATCCAGACTTTGCATACAACAATGTCCCTCGTGCTCAAGCATGGTGGGGTGTTCGGTCAATTGGGTAAATTTTCGACTCTTTGTGGCTTGGCAAACACCAGCTGAGACAGCCTGGCAAATTCATGCTTAGTTCAAGTGTGCATCCCTTACGCTCATGGAGCAGGTTGGCAGCTTGGTGCCCATAATACTGCATTTACAAATGAAGAAACACTGCGAGGCCACCTGCCCATGCTACACGGCCTGCCTTCCTGGTTCTGCGCAGCGTGTGGGCTGGAGGACGCAATGTGGTGTGGAGATTGTGGCGTGAAATCATATTTGTATACCCGTTGAAATTCAATTTGGGAACAAAATGCGTTCTTGGGATGCGACGAGCTTGCCATCGTACGCGCCCACCCTTTGTTTCTTTTTCCGCACATACTAATTTGCTCTACTGCATTCAGGGGTGCGCCCCCCATGTCTTTTCCTTTCCAAGCATCAAATGTGGACATAATGAAATGAAATCGGTGAACACGTAAAATATACACTTGAATTTTGTAGAGAACAATATCTCATGATATTTGTCTATCATTCAGACCTTGTTTCAGGGAAACTGGGACTTCGGCATGGGGGATGAAGCGGGCAAGCAAAAAAATGTAAAGCGGTTGTTGTGAGGGTGGTTTTAGGCATGTTATTGCATGTCGTTAGGTTCACTTGAACCCAAGCCTGCGCCGCTGTGACTAACATGCCCAGCTGACCTCGTCCCACATTTTGCATCAAACCATGTGAATGGGGAAATGGCCATGTGCCAGGCGAGCTCTGATGCACTTCAGCGCCTCCTCATGCGCGCGTACGGGACTGGGGGTTGGCCTCGGCGCAGCCGCCTCCCCGTCAACCGCTGGGGCCGGGTGGCAGGTGATAGTCGGTCGCGCTGGACCTCTGGTGCTGCGAAAGCGGGAAGGCAAACACTTTGCTTTCTACTGGCAGATGTTGCACCTACCTTGCGTCAAAAAACTTGCATGAACTTGCTCTTATGTCTGTGGGCAATGCATGCTTGGCAGTGCCCTGTCCAGCCAACACTCAACATGGCTTGAGTGTGCTTAAGTCATCGCGGTTCGTGCGCATCGATAAAAATGGAGACAGGCCCGGTCGATCAGGTTTCTCCTCAATTTTGACCAGGTGCGGGCCAAATTTTGTACACGTGCCAAGGCGCTCAGCTATTGAGATCGAGGCAGCATTTGTACCTTGTCCCATTTACAAATGCATATTTCATATTAGTGGTTGGTCTTGCACGAGCCGGGAACGGAAGAACGGACACTGCCGCGGGCTCAAAAGTCTGAGCAGCATCATGCGCGAATCCCTACATGCAATTCCAAAGTGGAGCAACAAGGGAACATTCAATCGACTGTTAAGGGTTTCCATTCGGTTTTCGAAGACCGTGCCAAAGGGTAGGCCCAGAGCGCGAGGACATGCTGCAGCACACAAATCCCCACCCACAACCACCCTTCTTGCGCAAACTGCACGCCATCTTGGTTGGTTGGTTGGTTAGTTGGTTGGCTGGCTGGCGGCTGGCTGGCTGCTGGCTGGCTGGCTGGCCGGCCGGCTGGCCGGCTGGCAGGTTGGTTGGTTGGTTGGCTGGCTGGCTGGCTGGTTGGCTGGTTGGTGGGTTGGTGGGTTGGTGGGTTGGTGGGTTGGTGGGTTGGT